TACATTTTCGCGTGTGCCTGGAGTGATTGTGGTTGTGTTTAAGAGTCTGACATTTCAACCCTGATTTATAAATATTCTCCTTTATTGGCACCTCAGATCTTGCTAAAGCTAACTGCTTTAGCAAGCAGCCACTTTTGCCCTCAGCTTAGTCTGTTTTTGAACCACGAAAACACCAGGTTCAAAAGGAGTTGGCAAGGGACTTGGTAAGACCCCTGATCGGATATAGTATCTGAAGAAGTGTCAACCAAGACCAACAGGGCATCCTTTCTTCGGGAGGGGTGGAGGAATACTGTGAATTTGATGCACCTAATGCAATCAGGCCCCCAATAATCTCCACTCAACTCCCAACGCTAGAAATGTGCACTTGTGGGTACAGCTAGCTGATTCTCTTGACATTTGTCTTTTGTGGGTGTGTTGATATTTTCTTATGTGCTGAGCAACTCTTCAGCATGTAATGCGAGAAAAGTCAGAAACAATTTAAATTGATGTAGACTAGATAATACTGAACATGCTTAGCTGTCATCAGGATTTTCCAAACATATAACCAGGAAGTTGTAGGCTGTCAGACTCCTGAATGAAAAATAACTACAACATAGTAGGATTGACATGCAGGGCAGGCGCGACATCCAATAAGTTCACAATAGGACTGGGTGTTTGTTAGTAGGGTTCAGTGGGCTAGGGATTTTTTGTCTTTCATTGTGAGTTGTATTGGGGTGGGATGGGGTGGGGCTGGGCTGCACGAAAGGAGGCTCAGCCAATCTCATTGTATACATGTTGTCCTCTGACAATAAAGGTTTGAAACTGGGAAGCCCTTATCCCAAAGGTGTTTTTTCAAAAGGCAACCGGACTTTGTTTTTTCCTGAAGACGTTTCGCTTCTAATTCAAGAAGCTTTTTCAGTTCAGAACTTCTTGGGTGAAAAGCGAAACGTCTTTAGAAGAGTAAAAAAAACAAAAACCAATCCAGTTGCCTTTTGTAAAAAGAACACTTTTGGCTCAACCATGACCTGGATGACTGAGAATCTCCATAGACACCTAGGTGACTTAGAAACCGAATCCTCCGGCGGTCTTTGAACATTTCCGCCCTAGTGTTCCTCCGTAGGCTTTGCTCCTTTCCCTCAGTTCGGGGGATACGACGTGCGACATGCAGATCAATTCAGAAAGGCGGATCACCTCCGCCTTTAGTGGTGGAAGAAGCAATTGCTGTCAGGGGAATCAAAATAGTTAGAGCAACGTTCCTAGTCGGAAGATTATAAACCCGCCACAGCGGGTCAAACTACTCGCTAAGATCTGAAGAGGGGGAACCCTCCTAATGCGGCGGAAAAAATGGTCATACCAGGCCCCATTCAGCGGCAGCTAGCTCGTCGACGTTCCCTGGAATGCCGGGGAGATTACTCTTTATCTTCTTCAACAGAACATCAGAAGCCACACTTCTCTTGGTGGCGTTATCTTCTGTCTCCCCCCCCTCCCAGCTAGAAATGAGGTCTTCCATGACCCAACATGGCGGGGAGTCCCAAATAGTCATTGACGAGCTGTCTCGTCTACCGGGTAGATGTTAAGGGTGAGATATTCTCTCAGGGCAGCTGCTGTGTGGAAGTTTTCACCATGAGCAATATTTACATCCAAGAACCGCCAACAAACGGCAAGGTGAGAGTCCGTCCGCTCATCTAAGGAAGAGCTTGGCTATACCCCGTGCTTAATAACTGCTTCAGGTTGAGTGTGCTTCCCACTCAATTCATTTGAAATGAATTGCATTAAATGCCTGCTCGTTGCCGGGATTAGCAGAGACATAAAACATTTTTCAGTTGCATGAAAAAGGTTCAGCTCACTCAGAATAAAAACAAGCAATCACAAGAATAATCCTATTGGTATACCTCGGTTGGAACAGGGTGGCTTCAATCCAATATTGTGATATTAGATAGGTTGATTTCAATGCAGTTCACTACAGAATAAGAATGTAAAGAATTTAGATTGAAACATCCCCAAGGAGTCACTGTTAGGGTCATAGCTGTGATAGGACTTAATGCATATTAAAAGGAGCACCAAGGGAACTCAGAATTCAGAACAGGTTTTATTTCCAACAAAAGCCTGCAAAGGTTTTAATTAAGTTATGTGACTAAATAAAGAAAACCTCCAAGGATTTAGAAGAAATGGAAGTTTGCAAAAGCCATACACACCCATCATACTATTCATTTTTTTTAGCTAAACGCCCTAATGAAAAGAGTGGAAAAGCAGTGAGAAATAGTAAGCATCAGATGAGCTCTGTTACTTCTTCAGTGCTTTGGTCAATTTAGGCTTTCACATACTGTTTTTACTATGAGAGAGGTGAATTGAAATGACAGCCTTAGTGTTTGTTACCTGTGGCACATGCAATATTTTCTGCCCATGATAAGGATAGTAAGAATCACTTTGGGCACATGTTGGCTAATACAGAAGTGCTACCAAAGTTCAGGTGTACCTCAGATTGCTATATAAAATTTTAGGATTTACTGCTAACATTTAAGTACAGATAACACTAACACATTAGCATGGCATCTATGCCTCCTTTTGAAATTTAGGAAACGATGCTTTTCTTTTGAGACAAAGATATTTCCTTTGATGTGCAAAACTAGCTTTTTTAGGGATAGGATGTGACTAATCAAACAACAAGGCTGTATTCTGAAGTCCTTAATCAGTGTTAAAAAACAAGCCCACAAATGCAACATATTTTATATGACAAAAATCTGATGTCTAACAAAAATAAAGCTTTTGTTGCACATCAATGCTTTTTGTGTTTGATTTGTTATTTTCTGACACACCTATTATATATCAAATATATATACCTATATCCTAAATAAAAACTTGACACCTTCCCCCCCTTCCCCTGTTAATAAATACTTTTTTTGCTTTTCTTGTAGAATTGATGATTCATGTTGTCAGGGAGCAAAAAATGGTTGCTGATTTGCTTCCGGATCAAATTCAAAACCATGTAATATCAATAGGAGATGTCATTGGTTATTCTTGTGATTGCTTGTTTTTATTCTGAATAAGCTGAACCTTTTTCATGCAACTGAAAAATGTTTTATGTTGCTGCTAAGAATGTAGCAAAATGGTCTAGTCTAGAGAGTTGTAAGGGCAGACTCTCACCTTGCCGTTTGTTGGCGGTTCT